TGAATGCAGTGCACTTCCGGTCTAGAGCTCATAGTTCTTCCGCTTTGCTGTGTTTTTGGCCCACAGGATGCACAGAGCAGTCACACATCGCACTTTTCTCCCCATCTCTGAGCTGATTGTATAACACGTGCGCGCCCCGCCAAGCCTACGTCAGATGACGTGGGAGCGTGGCGACGCTGCATCCCGTGCTCGCGGACGCACTGTCTCAAGTATCTGCAGTGTTTCTCTCAGTCAGCCAGCTGGCCATGTGCAAGTCATAAGCACAAGATATCACTACTCACTATTTAAAAATACTCTACAACCCAGCCCTCAGTTCACTGTGTAAATAATCCTGAATGAATGTTTGTTTAAGCTACTGAATATGTGCCGTTGTTACGCCACTGTGAAACAAATAGGCCTGAGGAATAATAATAGTAAATGTAACTCATTTAAATCAGTTTATATTACAAGTATGCTTTGAAATGTTAAAAAAACAAACATTAAGATCAGATATTAGACGTTAAAATATATATATAATCAAGAGTTTAGTTAGAACATAATAAATATAGACTTATATATATGGCTACAACTGACAACCACAACAGGATTATTGATAACTATACGACCACTACTACTACTACTACTACTACTAATAATAATAGTAATAATAATAATAGTAATAATAATAGTAACAATAATAACAATAACAATAATAATAATAACAATAATAACAATAATAATAATAACAATAAAAGTCTATGCGCTTTTAATTATTGTGAGGAGTAGGAAATAAAGGATCTAAGTCTTGTGTACTAATCTAATGAATTAGCCTGTGTGCTTGAAATTCTTGAGGGGAGACATAATGGACAGCCGTTATATTTAACTAAATTGGCTGAAACAATTATATCAGCACGTAAATCAGCCTAACAGGTGGGGAAGCTTGAAGAGGAACTGGAGCTGTGAATAAGGAGGAGTTTGGTTTCATGCCTGACATTTGACTGCCAATAAGACTGCCAATAAGACTGAATCATATTCATTAATGCAGCCAAACCAAGCATGCTGGGATGTTGGGTTTTTGGCTGCAGCAGCGGTAAAAAACGGCACTTGAGCACTCAGAAAGAAAATCTTTTTGAGACAAAGTAGAAACGTTTCTAGTACAAACACATGGTTTTTTGTTTTGGGTTTATTGTTGTTTTGTTTGTTGTGTTTTGGGCTGCTCTGACAGCACAAAACCACCCAGAGTTTAGATTAAATTCTCTTAAATGAAACCTACAATTCACCTTGAATTTATAGCACCAATATTTTCCTACATTTCTTCAGAGGTGACGCGTTTTCATGCAAAATATTTCAACGAACCCTTAAGAAAAATGCACCTAATGAACATTTAATTAATGGCAAACATTTGTGCGTGAAATGCGTTTTAATCACATTCAGTGTAATTTTCGGCAAATTATCTTAGCTTCTTATTTCTGATTAATCCAATTATCACGGAAAGCCTACAGAAATGGTAAAAGTACAATTAAAAAGATTAGGGGGATTCCTACCGGGGTTCTGATTTTTGTTATACATACCACATATATACACACACACACACACACGAATTAAAACAAATTCTTTAGATAAACAAATCATGCGGTAGTAGGCTAATTTGTACAAAATAGACTGATACCCGGCCGCCTGCGCCGTTTGAAACCAGTCGCCTGAATAAATGTACTCAACGTTTAGTGATTCAGTCTTACCAAAATACATTTTGTATGTATATGTACAGGCCTATATAGATAAAATATAATGATAATAAATGTATACACGTGTTAACTTTCAACGTATAAAATAGCTGCATCTTAGAAAACGCAACCTATTAAAACAATGTAGGTCCAAATTGCAGGGCAATTTATAAAAAATGTGAGGCGTATTTAGAAAGTCATCTAGAACTGTAATAATTGTATATTTAACATGTAGAATATTTATTAATAAAACAGTAGGTTTAAGAAATACATATGCAGAGAAAGTGCAATCATTTAGATATTTAAGAGACTGTACAGTCACACAGAGGTGATTAAGGAGAATATTTCGCAGCGTTTTATAATAGAAAGGATTTACCTGCACTTTCCACCTGCGTCTGTTTATTACACGGCTGCCTTCTCAGTCAACGTCAACTACAAAATATTCTAATAATAAAGATTATTATTATTATTATTGGCCTATAAGCTCTGTATGGGATGCTTGAACGCTGATAATCCACTTGAGCATTTGTCACAAAGTCGGCGCTAGATGGCGATGTCAGCCTATATTTCAGCACACACCAGCCTCAACTGACTTATTTCCACTTTTCCCAGAGTTAAACAGAACCCCTGCTACACACTGCAAACATTGCAATTTCTGCAGACAAGTTGTACACCATGTTTCTGGATAAAAGAAAGCCACTATAAGAATCCCCTCACTATTTAAACCTAATTTGTGACAAAACATTCACCGGGAATATGGGCCTTTACGTAGTATGTGTACGTGTAGCACTAACGGGAGAGCAAAATGTGCAGTGTTTGGATGTAAATACATACATAAAAACGTATCTATCATCATAGCGATGAAACGGATCAATTTTCAACATAACTTAAAATTCAACCAAGCCCACATTTTATTGGGACGGACTTTTACACCGACATACTGGACTCACACACAAATAACATGGAGATCATGCCGGAATTTACTTTATATACAACCACATGAATACGCACACATTATAAAAGCTATGATTGATATGAACACATATCCCGAACGATTATCTAAGCATTATAATAAGAAGAATTGCATTTTGGATGCATTGGATTGGATATGAATGAGAGCACGGGTTCATATTATGAGAAGACTAAACTTCATACAAGCTAAGCATGTGAGTAGGTTTTAAAAAGGAAGCCATGAGAGATTAATATTTAACATTCCCAAGGTCCAAATCCGCAACACCGTCACTTCCTGTGAATCTTCGCATTTATCACTGTCGTTAAACTTGCAGATAAAGGCGTAGCTCGGTGGCGCACACCTTTCTGAGTTGAGGTCAGTTTCCCCTTTGAGAGTGAGCATGCCAAAAGCAAAAAAAAAAAAAGAAGTCACACACACTTCAGCTATATTTTTCCCCCACTTGACTCCTTAAACAATATTTAACAAGATGTGGCAGGAAATTGAGGGTCCAGCATTCACAGGCCGCAACATTTTGTTCCAGAAGCTCCGGGAAATTATTTGGCAACATACAAATCAGGTTCAATCAGGAAGGAGTTTTATTGTTCCAATCCATAAGTCCAAACGTTTGTGTGTGTGTGTGTGTGTGTGTGTGTGTGTGTTTGTGTACACGTGTAACCTGTCACATCCGGTCACACAGGTTAAAATAAACACACCCACACAATATCCTGGGGCATAAGATGCGATGAAAGATGTTGTTGGATTTAACTTTGTCGACCAACAGGTTACACCACCTGCTGGAATTGGGTCAACACTGGATTAGCAATTGTATAATGTGTGTTGTGTGTGTGTTTGTTGTGTGTGTGTGTGTGTACAGTTTTTATGACCTATTGGGGACAATTTCTCATGTAAACACTGACCTTGTTGGGACAAGTAGTCCTTGTGGGGACCAAAGACTAGTCCTAATGGGGTAAAACATCATTTCTGAGGTACTGGTTAGGGGTAAGGTATGAATTGAGGTTGGGTTAAAGTTAGGATGTCCACAATAAATTAAGTCAATGGAATGTCCTAACAAGGACAGCTGCACAAACTTAAGTTAACATTCGAGATCATTTTCTTGCTGAGATGCAGAAAGATCACTTGTTACGTACAAGACAAGACACATTTGCTCTCTCCACAGGATTCAGCTTTGTTGATAATGGGGTTAATTTGTTAAGTGACGTGATGGAAGTTTGTTTTTTTTAGAGTCAACATCACCACATGCAGTTAGAGTTTGAGGGGCAACACAAGGCCAAAAAGATTTATTTGACAGCTTGAGAGGCTGGATTTTGGTTGTGAAACGAAATTATGTAACTCTCATGACTTATGATTCTGATCCTGAAAATGTTGTTCAGCAAGGACTTTGCATTCAGACTGAACCAAAAGACTCCTTATGAGCAGCTGATTTGCCTTCAGTCCGATTTGCAATTTCATTTTATTTCTTTTGCATAATTAATCCTCCATTCTATAACAACAACAAGGCCTCTGCAGGGATGATTAATGAAATATGAATAGATTAATGAATTGTATGTGTGCATATGTTTAAATGACATGCCTGTGCGCATGCACAGTTTCGTGTGAGAGGCTCTGTGGAAACTATCACATGACTGCTGCTGATACTTCAACACCTTTTGTGGTCCCTCTACTGATGGTGTCAATTATTGATACGGGTCTACACCTGGTTGTTGTGTTAACACCCTCACACCCAGTCCTGAACACATAAAAGTGCCTTTTTACATCCTTATCTACAAAATGTGAGGGTTTGTGAGCACACGCCCTGGTTATCAAGACTTTGACCATCAGTGTTGGGCAAGTTACTTT